GAAATTAGAAAAATGATCGTCGTTTTGTGCAAGGGTGGCGCAAGATTATTGCAAAATTTCATGTTTTCCGTGCCGTTTTGCATGTTTCTCGGAAGAAAAATGAGCAAGAACGCTCGTTTTTACATCATTTCAAAGATAACTAAATTCGAAGTTTCTCAAGAACCATTCGAGCCACAGAATTCGTTTTGGCATCGTTGGATAGAGAATTGAATGGGGGGGGGGAGTCATGACCCCCCTGGATCCGCCCTTGGATGAGGATGTTGTTGCTTCGCAGGCGAGAGCCTGATAAACCAACACTTCCATGCGCTTTTTCGCTAATAATTGTTTATATTGGGCGGGCAATTAATGCATAACGAATTACCCGGTCTTGGTACGAGTTTTCGTCTGCGTAGGCCTTCCGAGTAACGCAAGAGGTGCAAATCGGTGTTAAAATTTATCGTGGCGAAATTCAAGGTCTGTCACTTTGCAGCGGCCTGACCAAAGTTGCAAGTTTCCTTTCGCCGACCCTGTTTGTTACGCCTCTGCGCTTTGGGTGACTGACTTTAAATGCGAACCTACCGTTCAGTTTGGTTCGGGATTGCCGGCATTCAAACGAGCAAATTGACGATTTTCCATCTAACGATTCGAAACAAATCCGACAGTCTACGAACACATTAGGCCTTAGTTGCGACGAAAAAATAGTGCAAACCAGGCGCCAAACCTGTGGAACGTTGGGTAAACTGAGGCATCGGGGGTTCACGCAAGCTAAAGGTAACTATGCGAGCCTGGAACGTGGGCAAGGGCGGATCCAGGGGGGGTCAGGGGGTCGAGACCCCCCCCCCATTCAATTCTCTATCCAACGATGCCAAAACTAATTCTCTAGCTCCAATGGTTCTTGAGAAACTTCGAAAAAAGCAGCGTCATGTTCAAGTGGATTTTGCAACCACGCAAATCTAAAACTTCTTGAATTCAAGCCTTTTTTGAGAAAACTGCCAACATTTCCCCATCCATGGTTCACTTTCTAAAGAGGACATTTATTTCTCTCTAGAATGATGTACAAATGAGCGTTCTTGCTCATTTTGCCTCCGAGAAATGAGCAAAAACGGGACGGAAAACATGAAATTTT